TTGCTCTCTCTAAAATAAATTAATTAATTAATTAATCAATATGCCAACGTGGCACATTCTGGAGCAGCCCGCCCTTGGGCCCTACATTATTCATCAGGGAGCAGGCAGGCAGTGAGTCCAACTTCCATATCCAATTGGCACATGAAAAGGACCTCACAACATGGGGGCCACCAGGGGGCAGGCTGCACCTGCTGGACCACTGGCTCATCTGGGGGCCTTATTCTTGGCAGTAGTGTCTATAGGTGGCAAGGATGCTTTGCACAGGTCCCACACGGGGACAGATGGAAAGCATCCCTGGGGATGACAGCAGAGGACAAAGATGGCCAGGATGCCAGGTGTCAGTGGACATAGGCATTTGGTTGGAGGAATCTATGTGTGATGAGGGAGCAGGAGTCTTGGAAAAGAAGAATCAGGATGTTGTGGGAGCAGCATGGATGTTAAGGACAAAAAGATGAGCTTTTGGGGAGCCCTCAGGAATGATGTCCTGGGCAACCTGCATGGGAAAGACAAGACAGGGCGTCTTGGGCATAAAGAAGCCCTCTGGCTTCCCTAACTATACCTGGATCCTCCAGCTCATAGGAAGTTCGTAAGTTCCCCCTGGGGCCTCCACATCCTTGAGTCAGAGGTGCTGTTCCCAGACCACTGCAGCCCAGGCATGTAACCCTTGTTTGGTTACACAAGCCAATATAGTCCTCGTTGTTGCTTAGCCTGGTTTGAATTGTTTTCCACTTCAACTCACAGATCTGAACAAGTTTCTTAAATGCTACCTGTTCCTTGCTCAAGAAGTATCAATAGCGCCAGATTACCCACAAAGTTGAAGTCCAAACTCAACCTGGCTCTCAAAACCCCAATCTCTTCCTCCGTCACGATGTCCCACTATTCCTCAGATGGAGCTTTCTCTGTGGACGCCGTGGTTGGAAAAGTCCTCTTAACTGGGACACTGTGGGCTCAAAGATGCTTTTGCCAGCATCATATCCTCTGTGGGGACTCCTGGACTACCAGGAGAATAAATCAGTTCTACTCTGTGCCATCCTGATTTTCCTCTGCGTCTTCCATCAGGCCATGAGTCTCTTGAGGGCACTATGTCTACTGCCTTTGGCCCAAGCCTGGCACACTGAAGGCATCCAAAAACATACCTGAAGAATAAATAAATGACCTCTGTGAGTGCAGCCTGTCCTGCATAGCTAGAATACGCCTTTTTTGGAGCTGATCCGACTCTGGGCTGGTCCACTGTAGGGGAGAACTGCCACCCACATCTAGGTCCCAAGGTCCTAGGTCCCAAGGAACCACATCTAGGCAGAGACACTTGTGAGCAGACTCAGGTTTGTATCCACTTAACTGACCGCCAGGAATCTCTGCCCAGATCCCACTTCTACTCCTTTCCCAGCAGGAGACTTGCTGCCCTGAGCCAGCAGCACGTGCAGCTAGAATCCAAGAAAGACCAGAAAAGCTGACACTGAGATAGAAACTAAGTAACAGACACAAAACTCAAGATTGAGATGCCCACAGAGAAGACAGAAAGCTGACAAAGCACAGAGCCTAGACAGCAGAGATTCAAAGGCAGAGAGTAGGGCCAGCCAGGCTGGGAATGGCAAGTCCAGAGAGCATCCCATCATCTCCTCTCTTGATTAACACATCTTCTGTGGGTTTTCCCTGCCTCTTGCACTGCCTCTGACCCAATCTGTTAGTAGGATTTTTTTTTAATTTTTTAAATGTTTTATTTCTTTTTGAGAGAGAGAGACAGAGTACAAGTGGGGGAGGGGCAGAGAGAGAGGGAGACACAGAATTGGAAGCAGGCTCCAGGCTCTGATCTGTCAGCACAGAGCTGGATGCGGGGCTCGAACTCTTGAACTGCGAGATCATGACCTGAGCTGAAGTCAGACGCTTAACCGACTGAGCCACCCAGGTGCCCCAGTAGGAACCTTCTAAAGACATATCTGAATATGTCATTCCCACAGCCCTCAGAGTAAAGAAATCCCCGATACCTCTCCTGAGTTACAAGGCTCTGCTTGACATGAGCCCTACACACCAGAGCCTTCAACCCCAACCACTGTGAACTTTCCCCCAGGTATGCTCTCCCTGGCCGCTCAGCCTGAAATCTAGCTACTGTTCCCTCTAGCTGGGACACTCATCCTCCCCTGCCTCCTCCCAGTCACCCATTTCATACTCAGTGTTCCTTTGTCAAGGGCAGCCTCTTTCTCCCCCCCACCAGCATTCTTGCCCCCATCCCCCAGCTTCTGGTCCAACTGTCCTCCCCCACACTGGAGCTCCACCCCAGAGCTCTACCAGAGTCTGCAGGCCAGGCTGACCTCACCCTCTATCTTCCTACCTGCTCCTGTCCTTGGCCTCATGGGGCCAGGCTTGCCAGTTCTAGGGCCATGTCCCACTGCCCTTGGTACCCTAATCTCTGCCCCCGCGCTCTGTGCAGCACTCCCTTTTGAGTCACGGTTCTTCCTACATCTTCCATTTGCCTTTTTTTTTTTCCTAAATCTTATCCACTAATTTTCTATTTAGATAAAAATTAAGTTAATTTAAAGAAAAACATTAAATCGGGCATATGGTACAAGGACACTGCATTATAATAGTTTGGGGAATGAGACTCAGATAACATTTCAGTGCTCTGTTCAGACCCCTGAGATCCCTTTTACTGTTTCTGGGCATCTCTCTCTCTTGGACTTGTGCTTTGGCCTCCGATGGCTGGTACCTGTCCTCAGGTCACTACGTCTGCTTTGATTCCATTCCCCAAGAGCCCTAAGTGTCTGGGGCTTTAAGCCCCCTGAATCCCAGGGACAGCCCATAGCTTTAACTGGACATGTGGGAACATGACAGCCCATTTCCCTAACCCTCATTTCAGCCAACTCTGAGAGCCTGCCTAGAACAGAATCTAACACATAGTGGGCATTCAATAAATGTTTGTTGAAAGAACAAATGTAGCCACATTTATTTTTTTTATTTTTATTTTTTTAATATATGAAATTTATTGTCAAATTGGTTTCCGTACAACACCCAGTGCTCATCCCAACAGGTGCCCTCCTCAATGCCCATCACCCACCCTCCCCTCCCTCCCACCCCCCATCAACCCTCAGTTTGTTCTCAGTTTTTAAGAGTCTCTTATGCTTTGTCTCTCTCCCACTCTAACCTCTTTTTTTTTCCCTCCCCCTCCCCCATGGGTTTCTGTTAAGTTTCTCAGGATCCACATAGGAGTGAAACCATATGGTATCTGTCTTTCTCTGCGTGGCTTATTTCACTTAGCATCACACTCTCCGGTTCCATCCACGTTGCTACAAAAGGCCGTATTTCATTTTTTCTCATTGCCACGTAGTATTCCATTGTGTATATAAACCACAATTTCTTTATCCATTCGTCAGTTGATGGACATTTAAGTAGTCACATTTATTAATCTTATCCTCTGTAATTTCTGTATTTCGTTGTAATTTGTGTCACTCTTAGCTTTTCCCATCTGACATCAAAAAGCATTTACCTATATTTGTTTTATTTATTTATGAATTAATTTTTTTTAATTTTATTTATTTTTGTATTTTAGAAAGAGAGCGTGTGTGTGCAAGCAGGGGAGAGAGACAGGGGGAGAGAAAGAGAGAGAGAATCTTAAGCAGGCTCCACACTCAGCATGGAGCACAACGTGGGGCTCCATCTCAGGACCCTGAGATCATGACCTAAGCCAAAATCAAGATCAGACACTCAAGCGCCTGAGCCACCCAGACGCCCCTATGAATTTTTTATATTTAATTATTTGATCCTTCTGGATATGCTGTTAAGGACTGAGATAAATGTATTTTCTTCTCATGACTAATCAGGTGAACCAATAGCAATTCTTGAATCTTTCCTTCATCTATCAAACCAAGATACTATCTTATCTAACACTCATTCAGTGAGGCATTATGCAATCATTTATTATGGTAGTTATAAATGATTATGCACCGCATGGAAAAATGCTCACCTTATAATTTTAACCATGATATTTTTATAGCTACATAAAATTATATCAACATATTGGCAAGGACAGGGAGAAGTAGAGAAAAAATAGACATATTTAAGGATGCTGATAGGGCTGTGGGTGATTCTTCTCTTTGATTTCTGTGAATATTTACGAAATTAAAAAAGCCCTGAAACTTTAAATGAACATAATATGGAGGGTAAGAAGAACTTTAAAAAGATAGCAAGCTGTTTTCTTGATTGAGCTTGAGACAAAAGCTTCGGTGAGGTAGCTTTTTGTTTTTTGCCTTTTTTTGGAGGTGATCTCAGAAGTAAGCTGAGGACAATGAGGGATGCAGGTAAGAGAAACTGGAGGGTCCGGGGGTGGGGGGGGGGTCATTGTTTCAGGAAAGGCCAGACCCGAGGAGCTCTGCGTGTGAAAATCATGTCCTTTGGCCCTGTACCCTTGAGCGCTGAGCTCCTTCCCTGCCTCAGCTAAGTGAGTAGACCTTCTGGAAGTCCCCCATGCAAAAGGAATCAAGGCCTCAAGCGCGTGGATCAGTGAGTCCAAATGCTCCCATCACCTTGCCCTGGCTAAAGGGACGCTGCCTCGACCAGGCAGGGGGGATACAGATCTCTGTGGTTACACACTTAGAACTGTAGAACAGTATCTGGCTGCAAGACTCCTCTGACCCCTGAGAATTCTGCAGTTTTTTAGAAACTGAATTCAGAGAACATTTGAATTCACCAGGCCCTGGGCCAGCCCTACCCTCGTGACAAATGTAAAGAGCATCACGAGTAGGAACACGGTTAGTCCTGGGTGCCATGGGGCCCCAATCTGGTGCGTACCCGGGAGGGTTAGGCAGGGCATGTCCTGGAGCCTGGGCTGTATATACCCCAGGGCTTACGTTCCTAACCGACAGGGCACTTCACTTCCACCTTCGTATCTCAGCTACCCCCCGCAATCTACTGGGTCCCAAAGGTGCTCTTAGACGAACAGGTACACAAGCATCAACACGTACCAAGGCAACCGGCACAGGACCCATCCACACGCACAGAGAGCCAGGATGTCACTGGAGGTCTTGGATTTGGGGGCACAGCACAACCACAGGCGGCCCCAAGTACCTCTTATAGCAGCTCTCCTTAAGTGCCTTCCCACCTGTCTGGCCACAAGAGCCCTGTCGAGGGGCGTCTCCCACACCGAGACCCTCACTGCGCTCCACCTGGCGCAGAAACTGGTGAGGTGGGCCGGTTGCCCCCCGCCAGAGGGCTTCCGGGAGTGTACTTGAAAACTTTGGAGAGGCTCGCTGCTTCCCTCGGTGCGCACGCATCCTGGCTGTCACCAGCTCCGGGAGGTTCGGGGGAGCGAGAAAGGACCTACTAGCGTCACGTCTTTTAAGTCACGACGGGGTTGAACGTGGCTACGAGGCCCGGAGTGCGCGCGCAACCCCGCGCGGGCAGGCGAGGCTCTGTAGGCCGCAGGTCGCCCCCTCGGCCTTGCCGATCACGTCACGCTCCGCAGGCCCTCCCGAATCGTCCTGATTGGTGGAGAGCGCGCGCGAGCGCTACCGCTCCGCCCCCGGACCCGCCCTCCTGCGGCACTGCCCCGCCCCCTGGTTTACAAGGCTGGCCGTGTGGCTTCCAAGTTGGAACGCGAAGGCGCGGGCGCGAAAAAGCTCGGACCCTCCGAGGCCGAGGGGCCACTTAGCCGTCATGCACGCCGTCGCTCCAGGCCTGACAGTAGGTGGCTGCTCTTCAGAAGCACAGTGCCTGCTCAGCTAGGCCCGCGACCGGCCCCTTCTTCTCCTCAGCCCACGACCGGCTCCCCCACCCCCCTTATTGCAGAGCACCCGGAAATGCCCATTGCCCAGGCCCCCCTCGACGCCGATACCCACACATACCAGGAGACTGGTCCTCGAGGACCCGCCGCCCGACTCCCAGGCTCGCCCGACTCCCAGG